TAATTACAAAAAGAAAAGTTGCAAATGTTAAATTGAATTTTGAACGAATTAGGATTGCGGTAAAACGTTTGAAAAAAAAAAAAAAAAAAAAGAAGTGCACGTAAAATATAAACAAGTATATTATTTTTATATTGCATCCCGTCGTTTGTCATAATACGAATTTGTATATAGTTTTTCATTTGCATTCAAATAAAATGATACACGTACATCAATGATTATTTCTGATTATCAACTTCGAGGTGAAATAAACATTTATTACCGGAAAAGTTAATTGTCACGTATATATTGCATATATGCAGATGCACATGCACATGCATATGCATATATATATATATAAATATAATAAACATATTCAAATTAATTACAATTGAATCATTAAGCTTGTAATACATCATTTTATAACGCGTTTGACATCAACAACAATAAAAAAAAAAAAAGAAAAAAGAAAAATTCCAACTTACGTAAATTTGTCGTTTATTTGTTAAAAAATTTAACACTGTCGCGACCTTTGTCCGTGAAAATGCTTGAGCTATTTGTACATTGATTCACAGTGCGAGAACCTTCAGTTGCAGTATCGAAGTCTTCCGAGTCTGGCGCGAGGAGGCTGGAGAAAAAATCTTTTAAATAAATAAACAAATAAAACAATCCAAAATTTGTTCAACAATTCGATGATTACGAAAACGATCTTCCTAAAGGAATTATAAAAATGTTCGTAAGAGAATAATGATGGAACGGTGAAAAAAAAAAGGAAAGGAGATACATTTTGACGAGAAAATAAAAGTTTTTCTTTAACATGATAAAAAGATATCAAAAGTTTGTATCGACAAAATTGTCTCGAGTTGGAATCGATATCAACACGGCTTCCCGCCACCTGAAAGCTTCCAAAGTCTGACTATTTTATTACCACAAACACACACGATTGACCATTGTCATCATCCTCAGTAATAAAAGCAGCAGCAGGACAACAGAAAATCTTTTAAGCAAGGACAACAATTATTAGGATGATAACTTGTTGGGTTTTAGCTGGTGCCCTCGGTGCCGTTGTACTCCTTCATTTACTCGTCGAAGTACATTATTTTCTTCGTATGTTCTTCACAGTCTTCCTAGCAAGATTCTGTAAAAAGAAAATTCATATACTTGACGAAGCATCGGTATACGGTATGTACTTTTGATTACTAGTAATAACCAGTAACGAGTATATTTCTTTTTCTTTTTATTCTCTCTCTCTCTTTTTCTATCCATTTATTCTCTTTTCACTCATAATCTTGCAAGAAAAATCCAACAAATATTTACAAGAATGTTTCATTTTATTCTTTTTTTTTTTTTAATCAATATCGAAAGAATCATTGAAATTTTGTATTATTTCCGATCGATAGATTGTTTTTTTTGGACTTCAAACGAAAATCTAACATTATCCTCAAATTTATAAAAACGAATTCATTATAATATCTTCTTCTTCTTCTTCCACATTTTATTTAAACTTTGTCCTGATATAATAACTACTTTTTGGTTTTTTTATTGCTATTTCTAGGAGCACGATTTATTGTTATAATTATATTATAATGATTTAATGATGAAATAAATAATTATAATATAATTATAAAAAAATTATTAAACTATCACAAATGATAATCTGATTTGATAAAACACATTTATTACGAAGATTATCTTCTTTTATTTATACGTCCCATTCAATTGACAAAAATGAATATGTAAAAATATATTAAATAACGCGTATTCTATTATATATTAAAAGATTATTTTTTATTATTGTTACGGGGTAAAACATCCAACTGGAAATATATTAATTTCGCAACATCGATCGATCGGGAAAAAGAAACAAGCAGCAATGCAGCAAGCAAGCAAGCAAGCCAAGAGAATCCTTACGATTGCTTGTGTGTCGGCCTTGTATATGTCATCTCGTGTAAAAGAAAACCTTGACCCATAAAAATAAAATCAGCTCTGATATCGTAATAATTTGAAAATATAATTGATAAATGCAAAAATATTTTCATTCATTTTTCAAGTTTTGTGCTACAAATAAAATACGATGATCAATTTTTCTTCATTTTATTGCAATTACATTTTGTTCCCTTTTTTTCAGGTATTTGCACTACGACTGACGTTGACACTTTACTTTATCATATGAACAATGCGAGATACCTACGTGAACTGGACTTTGCTCGGGCTGACTTTTACGAACGAACGGGTCTCTATCGTGAAATTTGTTCTCAAGGATCAGGTGTTGTGCAAGGTGCTGCAACGATACGTTATCGTCGATTCCTTAAACCTCTTACAATTTATAAAATAACTTCAAAGGTGAGAATATATACATATATATAGACACAATCTTTTTTCTTTTCCTAAATTTTTCAACTCCTCAAAATTCTCTTGAACCTGTTGGACAAACATAAATTATGGTTCTTTATTTTCTGTTCTGTTTTTTTTATTTCTTCTTGTCTTATTTTCCTTTTATATTCTTTTCATCACTTATCTCTCTCTTTATTCATCCTCTTCTCTTTAGTTCTGAATAAATATTATCTCTCCTTTTTTTAAAAGCCACTTAAAAGAATCTCAAACTATGATATTGATCGAACAAATGAAGTATATTTATATATATAAGAATAAAAACCAACTATTCGGTCTTTTATGCTAACATATATCTACAAATTTAAAAAAAAGTGTTTCACCAAAAAAAAAATAGAAAAATCTCATTTAAAATACCGAATTAAAATATTTGTTTCTGATTTATATCTTTATAAATAGAATCCACATTTTATCTGTTATTAATTACAAAGTGTCGGATATTTATAAAATTGAAACATTTTGACAAAATCGTTTATGCAATGGGTTGTTTTTTAATTAAAACAAACAACAAATTGTAGACAAATTTTGGAATTATTTTGTGATTCTGTTGTGAATAATGTTGATTGTATATTTTTTTGTTTTTTAATACATATTTAACTGATTTAATTTTAGATCATCTATTGGGACGAGAGAACGATTTTTATGGAACATCGTTTTGTCACACCAAACGATGGATTTATTCGAGCTATAGCTATCTGCAGGCAAAGACTTTTAGACTGCAGTGCAGAGACGGTTATGGGTACTCTCGTAGATCGAGGTGTTAAACAAAATGGTAACGTCGAGTCGGGTGTTACACAGGTAATATTTTAAATTTAAAACAAAAATCAATATTATATCAATGTATAAATTGTTATTCGTCATTGGATTATAAATCATTAATTTTTAATCGATTTCTTCTTATAAATCACGCGTGCCAATGTTTCTTTTCTTTGTTTTTTTTTTCATTTATATATAATATAACTATTAATTGATGAAATAAATTAAGTTTATTCTGATATCCTATAATATTTAGAGTACCATATATATATATGTTAATTTCATATATCATTAATTATATTACAATAAAAATTATATTTAATTTCCAATGAAATTGATTGATCAATATCGATTAATACCTATTATTATAATTACATCAATTTGTATTCCAATTACAATTAACATAATCAGTTTTTTTGTAACTAATGTGAATATAAGATAAACGAGAAGTTTATTATAATTTGTAAAATTATCAAAAATAATTTCTCCCAAAATGTTTCTGCGTTAAGCACGAAACTTTTCGACCCATACCTCTGCATAATTAATACATATATAATCCCTTCTAAAATATTATATTAATACTATAATAAAATTTATAAGTCAATTAGTTGTTTATCACACATCCAAATGAAAAATTAATAATAAATAGATATCACAGAGGGAAGTTGAACAAGATAACAAAAATCAGAACATAATGTTACCTTGTCCAACTTCCTTCTGTGTGATATCAGTTTATTAATATTATATTAACACACTATTACATAAATATCATAATTGTTTCATAATATATCAAGTTACAAATATTATAAAAATGTTCTAGGTAACTCATGTGAGGCCTGAAATACCCCCGGATGTAGCAAGATGGTTGGAAAGCAATGAAATATCTTCAGCAATTCTTCGACAATCTAATACACCTACGGTAAACACCATAACAACAACAATGACGACTACGACGACTACGACAACAACTACGGCACCGTCATCGATTTGCTGACAAAATGATAATGCGACCACTGGTGGTATCGCAGAAACAACTATCTACGTAACGACTACTGTTTAATAAAAATTAACGGTACGTGACTAAAAAATAAAAGCACTGTGCTAATATTTATATAATATGTTATCTATATTCGTTTAAAACAACGTCAACAAGTGAATTAATCTTCCTTCATTTATCAACTATTCATTTTACTTATAAGATTCTTTCTATATTTGCAAAATGAATATCCATTATTTTTTCTTTCTGCAATTCTTTACTCATTAATCATAAATATTATGTATATATGTAAAAAAAAAAAAAAAAAAAGAAGAAAGAAAAAAGAAATGAAAATAATAACACGGTGCTTTAAATCGACTCTGCTCAGGGCTATTATTTGACAACCGAAAAGAAAAAAAAAAAAGAAGAAATATTTAAAATTAAACATTTAAAATATAAGATATGTTTAGACATTCTTATTGTGTTGCTTCGAGTTACGAATATACAGAGCCAAACAAAAAAAAGATAAATTTTTTTTCAATGAAAATATGCTTTGGCGAGATATGAATTATTTGAAACGAAATTATAAATAATTTGATGAAGACGAATGTATGAACTAACATGCACCGATACGTGAAATTCCGTGCAATATTATTATAATATAATACATATGTATTATGTATATAAAAATATATGTATGCGTTATGTTTCCTAGAAACTTTGAGGCATAAAATAATGACACTTTTATGTATTACTCATGTAATTATATACGGGATATTTAAACTTGACTTAATTGGTCATTCGAAATACCTTAAATGATTGATATCAAGAATTCAAGATTATTTATCCAGTATATACAAGGTATTTTAAAATATGTAGACGTAACTTCAGGTGTGCTTTCAATACGCTAAAATAAGAAAAACAAAAGTTCATACAATCATATATGCCCAATATGGTTTTGAAGTTACATCCGCATAATTTGAAACATTCTTATACGTAAATGTATTGGAAAAAATGTTTGGAAAAAAAAAAAAGGAAAATCTATATATGAACCGATAATTACGAGAATGGCCTAAGTCATTTATATATTTATGTAGAAGTTTTATTTAAAGTTTTGATTTGGTTCATTTTGATAATTATTACTCATATATATATTTGATTTGTTGGGTTATTTGTGACAAGGGAAAAAGGTATATTGTTTATATAAGTTTTCATCATTATTACATATTATCATTATTCTCGAATTTAATTGGATTGACATGAATTTACTTACGCATCGATATAAATATATTTATGTAATATCTACGAGCTTTATATCAATTTTATGTAAGATTTTTTTTTTCCAATCTCTTTTTTCCTTTCATATTAAAAACAAATTTGAATCTTTATACTCGGGACATCGTTTATATTACTATTGTAATTCACAAAAAACTGATTGACTCAAAAAAAAAAAAAAAAAGAAAAAACCAATCAAACCAAAGCATTGATGATCGTGAGTTTTACGCTTATAGTATTATAGAATTTATAATATAGGAAAGTTCAATTTAGAAATATGATTTTATCTTCAAAATTTATCGTAAATACAAAATATAATTTAAAATTACTATTAATCATATTTTAAAAGTTATATACAATATTTCTTGAATAAAAAAAAAAGGTTTCAATGATTAATCTTCATTACACACATATCATTTCAAAAGAAGTGCCGGGAGCAAAAAGATTAAAGATCAATTTTCGCAAGGACACACAAATGTAATAGATGTTCTTTTCTTATCTTCAAAACATATACCTTAACCCATTAGAAATGCCACGATCCCCATTTGAGGATTATGGAATTTTACGTACACCACTTGGTGTACCTTTTGTGTGTATATATATATATATATAACTTATCCGGGCAAAAATTGAAAAAGCAACAAATTTGGCAACATTAATGGGTTAATAATAATCAATTAAAAAACATATAGATTAATTTATTTAAAAAAGAAAATAATTGTTATTTTCGTGCGAGAGATGACAAACGAATTTCTGCGAAATTATTTGAATAATAATGATGAAGACAAGATAAGAAAAGATATTTTTCGAGATCCCCAATAGTAGAAAATATAAAAAAGATATTTTTAACAATAAATCGAAGTTGATGTTTACAAAAAACCTTTTCGCTTTTTCTTCTCTGTTTTTTTTAATATATATTTTGATTCTGCTACATCGCACCCGTTGAACATAAAAAAAAAGAATAAGAAAATGTGGCGAATTTAATTTTTAATCTATCGTCTATTTATAATCTCGATAGAATGAATTTCAATATAAGCACAATCGACGAAATCCATAGTTCGTTTAGAGAAATAATTAATATAAGAAAATTAATGAAATATAGAAAAATAATAATAGCGAATATAGCGAGACACGCTTTGTTATTATATATCTAGACCGTTCTGTAAGAAACTTATTATTATTATTACGTTGTGTGTGTGTGTGAGTGTGTGTGCGTGCGTGTGTGAATATATTATCGATGTTGTCGTCCAAAAAATCATATATAGAAAAAATAAAGAATTTACAAAAAATTAATATCGCGATTTATTGAACAAATCTTCTTTTTAAATCAATTAATTTTATTATCGATCATCAGACGTTCGTTTATTCGCATAAAACATTTGGACATCATCTTTTTCTTGATAAAAAAAAATATATATATATATATATGTATTTAATTTATTTAACTAAATATGCAATATTTATAAATATATACATTTTTTTAATGAAATATTAATTATTCTTTATTATATATATATTATAAAAATAGAATATAGTAATAGTAATATTTTATAAATAGAATAAACCAATACTAAAATTCTTTTTTTAAAATGACAAGTAAGTTAGTAAGTTTTTAAATAACGAGTATTATTATAATAAAGAAGCAATAATGATTAGTCAAGCCCTATAAACAATTACCATCCACATATCAAAAAAGATATAAATAAAAAGATACGAAAAAACATCGTGTTTATTATTTATTAACGACATTACACAATGGCAACTTTTTTCTTATGAATATCTTAACATAATGAACTATTTAGTTGATCGTTAGTAAGCTTCTATTCGAAACAATCAGTATAGTTCCATCAACGGCACAAGAAAGTCATGCTTTGTCTTTCGTAGTTTTCTCTATGAACAAAATATTATATCTTCTGTAATTAAAAAAGTGTTTCTTATTATCTGAATTTTTGTCGAAAAATATTATAATATAAAATGTTTTACCTCGTAACGATTCTTTTTATTATTTATTTTATGTTCGATTTGAATTATTTCTTCAGATTATTATTAACGATCATTTCGGCTAAATGTTTTAAAAATAAAGTTAAACTTACAGACGAAACTTCCATTTATGGTAAGCATTTATTTAATAATACAACTTATCTTTCGAATCATTTAATTTCACAAAACTCATGTGTATTGTTTATTTCTTTACGTAATGACTGACGTGGCATCAATATCATAAAATGCATGATCATCTGATTTAAATATGTTCAATATGATTTTACAGGTATTTGTATTACACAAGACTTGGATGCTGTGTGTTCACATATGAATAATGCAAGATATTTACGTGAACTAGATTTTGCTCGTTTTGATAACTTCATCCAAACTAATATGTTCGATACAATGAGAAAAAAAAGCATTACTGCAGTCCTAAGTGGTTCATGCACAAGATATCGGCGGCCGGTACCGTTTCTCATGGTATATAAAATTCTAACTAAGGTAAAATAATTGACAAATTTCTATAGACATTAGATGTTAATTTATATATCATCAGATTTTCATGATAAAATGTTTTTATTACAGTTGATTCATTTGGACGAGAAACATTTATATTATGAGCACAAGTTCGTAAATCCACGAAATAACTTTATTCACACAGTCATTTTCACTAAAACTACACCGATCGGTGTTAAAGTACCGTTATCAGAATTAATAAAACAAGTTGAAACTGAAATACATCTACCAGAAATAACGAAAGATTTTCAATTGTGGTTGGAATCGATGGAACAATCCTCTCAGTTACTTAGAAAGAAAGATTAGAGATATTTTCTTTTTTTTTCATTTTATTCTATGAAAATGTTAACTAGGTTTTGGGAAATTATATGTTGATTATATTTTTTGTTATAATCATACTGATTTATTCTTATTAATTAATTAATATAATATAATATATTATTATATTATATTTTTTGTACATTTTATATTTATATTACTTATATTTTATTATAATATATAATGTAATAAAATTATATTAATTTTACCCTTGCAACGTTTCTTTCAATACAAATAAATAAAAGAAATTTACGGAGTTTCTTCAGCCGAAAAAACGAAACACTAACTCTACTTTTCAATTCTTTTAAATTTTATTTTAATGATGTAACACACGAGTGCTTTGTTGCTATGCTATTTAAAATAAGTTGTTAGCCCAGACTAATTAACATCTTTTTAATGGCTTTATTTTTTATGTATATTTTCTTCAGAAGGATTATGCAACTGTCTTGCAATATATTAATAATAAAATATAATAGAAGTTAATGCGAAGTCTGTTATTAAACAGTAACTGTATATAAAAGCACTACTTTACTACATACAGTACTGGATTGTAAGAAAAAGAAAATAATAAATAAAACAGAATATTTATAATAGATTTCTAATTGTTGTTTGTTTTTAAATGTATATAAAATTAAATTACACATTCACTTTGTGTACACTACTAGTTATTAAAAGTTACTAGGAAATAAGAAAGTTTCAGATATATTGAAATTCTAGTAACATGGCTACGGCGATTTTGGTAATAGTAGTGCTCTACCTTTACCTTACCGACCGAGATCTGATGGTAAGTTACCATCAGAATTATCGACAGTAAAAAATTTTCACCGCAAAAACAAATAAATATATGCTCTTAATTGCTCACTAATTGCACATTTAAAATCCATAATTGCTCGCATTATTGCTTAAAAATTTTTTACTGTCGGTAATTCTGTTGGTAAGTTACCATCAGATCTCGGTAGGTAAGTCGTATTACCGACAGTAAAAAATTTTCACCGCAAAAACAAATAAATATATGCTCTTAATTGCTCACTAATTGCACACTTAAAATCCATAATTGCTCGCATTATTGCTTGAAAATTTTTTACTGTCGGTAATTCTGTTGGTAAGTTACCATCAGATCTCGGTCGGTAAGTCGTATTACCGACAGTAAAAAATTTTCTTCACAAAAACAAATAAATACGTGTTCTTAATTGCTCGCTAATTGCTCATTCGCTATTGCTTGAAAACTAAAAATTCGAAAATCGAATGTAATATGAAATACGATTTGTCGAGATTAATTATAAAAGTAATTATTAATTAAAACATCAATATCCTGGAAATAAAACAGAAAGTAACAAGTAACTACCTGTAATGAATGCAAGACGATATGCATCTATCTGCAATTACCAATTGAAAAAGTATTGGCGTTTTTTTTTGAAACGTTGAGCTTAGAACGGTTCACGCGGTGCATGTGCATTGTGCCCTCTTTAGTATAATTATTACATACATGAAATATAAAATATATTAAATTATTAATATAATTGATAATTTTTAAATATAATATAATATAGCATATTAATGCTATTGGAAAAATTTTAATTTTCTAATAATATACCTTTTTTATTTGATTCATAACATGATAATTAAATGTGAATTAATATTTTCTATAGAACATAATTACTTTTTAAAGCTCCAGTATTTAGAAATAAATATGATTGGTTAGATTTCAATATACTATTATAATTTTTTCTTCTAAATACAACATAAATCGTGGAATGCTGTATATATACATTTCCATTCTTATTTTTAAAAGAGAAATGATGATAACATTTGTAGAATTCTCATATTATACACAATTCGAATATTTAATTGATTTATATCTTTTGTTTTTTATTTAAACGTGATATAGTTCTAATGTATATCTTCTGGATTGAACATTCCCTGAGAAAGAAAAGAAAATATATTATCGATATATAAATTTGTATTAATATTTAGTGATGAGATATTAATCGATCATACCTTAGCACGTCTTAGAATAGAATCTTTACTAGCATCGTACGGATGATCTTTACTAGGAATTTCTAATACAGAAGGTATAGGCTGAGTATGACTGTCGATAACATGTCTAATCATTTCAGCAACCTAAAATGTATTAGTTAATAACAATACTTTGTTGAAAGAAATAAGAACAAATAAGTAATGTATTATTTGTCTTCGTGTCATAAGATAACACTTCAATTACTCACATTTTGATTAATGAGAATAATGTCAATGTCGTCTCTTTTAATAAAACGCTTAAAAGTATCCTCTATTTCGCTCTCCGGTGTATCTACAAAATATATTTTCTTTCTTAGTAGGTATGCAACAATATATCTCATAGAAGGTAGTTAATTACTCTGTTACGTATACCAATAAGAACAAAAGTTAGAATTATAAAAAATACTATATACTTTTATCGACAACCATAAAATTAGGTTGACGATGTTTATTAATTTCACCAACACCACCCAGTAAGAATCCTACACAAGTATCCTGAAAAAATTAATATGATAAATGATAAAATAATTGTAACAAAAAATTTACAACATGTCATATGTGTTGTAAATAAAATTGAACCATAAGTAAAAAGATCAATAATTTACCTCATCTCCTATCACTGCTAGAAGTTTACCCTTACCAGCTGAATGAAGTGTCATTGTTGTTAAAATAAATTAGAAAATATTTGGAGAATAAAAATAAGAATAATATAATAAAATCAATGATAAATGATCAAGTACTATAAAGTCAGCTGACAGTAACACACCTATTTCGTTTATATGTTAAATGTACCGAAAATCACGTGCAAACATTCGTCCAATGGGATCGATTGTTGATATAAAGCTGATACACATGTGCAATTGAATAGAATGGCGCGTTTACAAATTTCTATTTCTATGTTTGTCTTTCATTCTATACTACCTTAAACCAATCTCTTTGACCGTAGAATGAATCTAATATCTTTGGCATTTCTAGTATTAGGTAATTAATTAATACAAAAGTTCAATTTATCTTATAGATCGTAAGGTAAGTTTTAAGTAATGTTATATTATTTTGTAGACGTAATTTAGCCATTAATATAGTATAAACAATAATAATGCTATCCTGTAGTTAAACCGAATCAATTGAGGAAGAAAAAAAATTGTTAAGTAGATAGGGGATAAATACAATTGGTCTCTTTACCTTCGTCTTTATTACTACATAACTTCACTAGAAAGTTTAACTTATACGAAGCATCGAAATCTCCTTTATCTTTCCTGGTAATTCGGAGTACAGTTAAATAAAGTAGGAAGTATTAGTGTACGTTTCGCGTTGCACAATTTTTCGTAACAACGCGTGTAGAGATAAAAATATTAGTTTAAAGAAAGGAAAAAAAAAAGTAATATTGAAGTGTTCGTCACATCGATTACCAGTCAGGTCTGTTTTAATCACTGCCAATTAATTGTCTGCAATTTTGTTAATAAATAAAGGATTTGAAAAGTTGAAAATAACATATATATATATATATATATATATATATATACATATAAAATTAAATTCCGTTTATTCTTAAAAGGAGGCGATATTCGATTCCTTCAAACAGTATGGCCACTTGGGATGGCTCATGTCACGAACCTGAAGATTCAAATTATTTTTTTTATTCGGGTCAAAATAGTGCCATACCTAATCTAGAAAGTTGGACTTTTTATCCCAGTAATGGGAGCAACGTTTTTTTCCATAGTACTCATGCACCATATTCACAAAATACTTCAATGATGTTGGGACAAAGTGAACAGCAGCATATTGCTTCGTGTCAAACGGATCCTAATTTTTCATCAAGTTCATTAAATTCAATGCCTTTAAGAGACGCTTGCCCAGATTACTTAAATGCGACAGGCAGCGCACAAGACTGTCAAGGTAACAGTAGGTCACAGAATATGCCAGCTCATTATTATCAAAGCCATCGACAAGGGAAACGTGTTAAGAATTATAGAGATAACAATAAATATGAATTTTCTAAAGATGCTACTCGCAACAATAGCAGCATTGTCGAACATTCCAATTTACATCCTACTGCAAATGAATTTGTACCGCATGGAATCAAAAATTACACAAATCAAACTAATGCAAGTCTACATGTTTCTAATTCGGAAGATTCTAAAGCTAACTTACCGCAAGAAACTTATGCTTCTGATAATGCGAGCAAATATAAGAATAAGAAATATAATGGGAAGAAAAATAATTCTTACAAATACAAAGAAACGCAGGATTATAACTTTCGACAAAGAAATTCATTTCAAAATTCCTATAAAACTCAACACGGCAGAAATTATAGAAAATATCCAAATAGTAAGTAGTGATGCTTATATACACATGTATGATGATGAAACAAATAATATAAATAACTAATAAATTTTATTTTAGCTTCTGAAGAGGCTGGAGGCATGTTTTATAATCCTAGAAATAATGCAACCACCGATGAAACTCAGAAGAATGAAAAATTTATGAATATTGATGCAAATGTCAATGCCAATAAAACTAATATATCTAACACCGAAGAAGAACATGAAACTGGTGATCAAGTAAAAGCTGATAAAGAAAATACAGATGCTAGTGGAACTACAAGTCAAAATTATGAACAATTGAGTAGAAGTAATTATCAACGCCATAATACTAATTTTGGAACACAACGTATTCCTGCTAAATATGGTAGAAAAGTTTCAAATGATCGCAAAATTGGTAGATATGATAATAATTATCGTGAGAGAAAAAGTAACTATCAGGAGTATAATAATTACAAGGAGAGACATGAAGAAAGTAAAGTAGATACTACTAAGGATAAATATAAAAATAAAGATATAAACCAAGAAACTAAAGAGGTAGAAATTGTTAATTGGAGACAAAAGGGAGAAAACAGTGATAAAAGTAATATTCCTAAACGAAAGCCGAATAAAAAACACGAAGGTAACAATAAATTATTTTTTAATTAAGAAATTATTTCCTACTTTTATCAATTTACTAATTGAATAGTAATTAATAATTACAGATGATGATGCAAGTCAGAGAGAAAGATTAACAGATCAGTTAAATAGAGGACAATTAGAATGTTTAGTATGCTGCGAATATATAAAGCAAAATGATTACATTTGGTCTTGTTCCAATTGTTATCATGTTTTACATTTAAAGTGTATAAAAAAATGGGCAAAATCTTCCCAAGCAGGTACTCTCTTTTTTTTTTATACAAATAATTTCAATTGCAAACAACGTTAATAAGTTATTTAATTCTTTTCGTTTCTCTTTTTGTAGAAAACGGTTGGAGATGTCCCGCATGCCAAAATGTGAGCACTATGATTCCTGAAGAATATTTTTGTTTTTGTGGAAAAACAAAAATGCCTGAATGGAATCGCAGAGATATGGCTCATTCTTGTGGTGAAGTTTGTGGGAGATCTCGAATCAAAAACAACTGCCCTCATAAATGTACTTTGCTGTGTCATCCAGGATCTTGTCCATCATGTATTGCAATGGTAACAAAAAATTGTGGTTGTGGTAAAACATCGCAAACGCTACAATGCTGTACATTAACACTATTACTCTGCGATTCTATTTGTGGTAAAGTATTGAATTGCGGAGAACATACGTGTGAAAAAAAATGTCATCATGGGGAATGCGAACCTTGTGATAAAATTATACAGCAAGGTAATTTAACATTATTTAATAATAGTATATATTGAAAAATTATATATGTATATATTTACTCTTATATTTTCGTGAATTCTTTATTATAGAATGTTATTGTGGAAAAAGTAAAAGAGATGTAACTTGTCAATCTGACGTATCTTCAACATATTCCTGTGAAAATAATTGTAATAAGGTATTAGATTGTGGAAATCATAAATGCAAAAAACCTTGTCATTCGAATTCATGCGAGCCTTGTGCATTTACACCTGATAAAATTACTACATGCTGTTGTGGACGAACACCACTGTCAGATGAAAGAAAATCTTGTTTAGATCCAATTCCAACTTGTGATGAAATATGTTCTAAACGTCTTAATTGTGGTCAGCCTAGTAAGTATTGTAATCATTTTATTATTTCTCACTCCCTATATACTTTCTAAGATATATAACAATAATTCATATTCTATTTTTTTTATTAAAGGTAACCCACATACATGCAAGGTAAAGTGTCATCAAGGAGATTGTCCTGAATGCGATTTAACAACGGACGTTAAATGCCGTTGCGGTAATATGGATAGAGAAATTCAATGTAAAGATTTAACGACCAAGGCGGATGATGCACGTTGTGAAAAGAAGTGTATTAAAAAGAGATCTTGCGGAAAACATAAGTGTAATCAAATGTGTTGCATTGATCTTGAACATATTTGTCCTTTACCTTGTTCTAAAACATTAAGTTGTGGTAGACATAAATGTGAACAAMCCTGCCATAAAGGTACAAATATTTGGTATCGTATTTTTACAAATGTTTAAAATCAAATAATCCCGTATTAAGTTAAACATTTATTAAGAATTGTTAAGATTTTTTAATGAAAAATGTTTTAATTTAGGTAGGTGCCAACCTTGCTGGCGTAGTAGTTTTGACGAATTATATTGTGAATGTGGTACAGCTGTAATATATCCACCTGTACCTTGTGGAACTAGAAGACCCATTTGTGATAAACCTTGTTCACGTGATCATTCGTGTGGTCATGAAGTATTTCATAATTGTCACAGTGAATCTTCATGTCCCCCATGTACTTATCTTACTGAAAAATGGTGTTATGGCAAGCACGAACTTAGAAAAGCTGTTCCATGTTATTTTAATGAAATTTCATGTGGCTTAATGTGTAATAAGCCTTTGTCCTGTGGAAGACATAAATGTATAACTACATGCCATCCTGGATCATGTGAAAAGCCAGGACAGCAATGTGTTCAACCATGTAATACATTAAGAGAATTATGTGGGCATATATGTGCGGCTCCATGTCACGAGGGAAAATGTCCTGATATACCTTGTAAAGAAATGGTTAAAGTACGTAAAATAATAAAAAGTATTTTTAAAATATACCTGAATGTATTACTAAATAAAATTATATTTTTAGGTAACGTGTCAATGTGGACATAGAAGTACGACCAGAGTATGCGAAGAAAATTCGCGAGAATATCAAAGAATAACCAGCAACATTTTAGCTAGTAAAATGGCTGACATGCAACTAGGTCATTCTGTTGATTTAGAAGAACTTTTTGGACCAGGAGCAAAGAAACAAAATCAATTGAAAATTCTCGAATGTAGCGATGAATGTAAAATAATAGAACGTAATAGAAGATTAGCATTAGGGCTTCAAATTGTTAATCCAGATTTAAGTGGAAAATTAATGCCAAGATATACCGATTATATGAAACAATGGGCAAAAAAAGATCCTCATTTTTGTCAAATGGTTCATGACAAATTAACAGAATTAGTGCAGCTTGCAAAGACTTCTAAACAGAAATCAAGAAGTTATTCGTTTGATAGTATGAACAGAGATAAGCGTCGTTTCATTCACGAATCCTGCGAACATTTTGGTTGCGAAAGTCAAGCATATGATTTGGAGCCAAAAAGAAACGTTGTTGCTACTGCTGTAAAAGATAAGGTAATATTCCCTTCCTTCCTCTTTCTCTCTTTCTCTCTCTTTTTCGTTATTGTTATAATAAACTATATATATATTTTTTGTTTATTTCTGGATTATACTTTAGTGTTGGCTACCAAGTTATAGTTTATTAGAAATTGTGCAAAGAAACAATGGACAAAGAAAAGTTCCAGGCCCGATATTGAATACTACAAAAGCCAACAGTTCAATAAAGTAAGTTCGCATATTTATATTTTATTTTATAAAATAAAGTATAATTATTGCGCTAATATTTAATTATAATAATGCATTGATATTTTAGAACAATCTTAGCATTACCTGTAAAAAGAAGTCAACAAATTGTACCAACTCCATCAACTTCTTCAAGATCACCAGAACCAGAACCAGAAATAGATTATTTCTATTATAAAGGTTATTAAAGATTATTAACAAACAGGTACTATTTATATATTCAATATATAGTTCATTTTTACGTATTTTTTCTATAATTTAAAACAAACAAACAAAAAAATTAAATATAGTAATATGTTTGTGAATTCAAACTCTCTAATTATTTTTAAAAAGAATTAATAATGTATTTATTAATTTCATATTATATATATATATATCTAAAAATGCATTGAAAATTAATTGATCAAAATACTGCGAAGAATTGCTTGACTGTACAGTTTGTTATTCATTCAATTTAGAATCATACTTTTAAAAATATGTTTCTTTTTTTGAATAGGGGATTGAATTTAGAAATTTCTTTTAATCGGATAAACGTTAATACAATCAAATAAGTATCATGAAAATTAACAATGTTTTACAAGATTACGTTTAATGGGTATAAGTTAAACAGAAATCGTAGAAATCTTTAAACATAATTAGTACATATATATATATATATATATATGTACTAATTATGTTTAAAGATTTCTACGATTTCTGTTTAACTTATACCCATTAAACGTAATCTTGTAAAACAT